AGCCGCAGCCGATGCCGCACCGGTCGCCTTCGCTGATGGCCAGGTTGATGGCCGTGGAGTCGTCGGTTACGCCGTCCCCTTTGGCCCCGTAGTCGCGGACATTGCGGTACACTTTGTAAGTGCCCGGGTTGTTGTTGAACGGGCTAGATTCTTCGTGTTTGAGCACCTGTAGCCAGTGGTCCCGTTGCGGGCTGTGGGGCAGCTCGTGGCCGCCGCACTGGTCGCCCAACCCATGGACTCGGCTCGGGCTCATACAGGCCAACAACGTGGCCACCAATAGCTCTTTAAACATGGTTTGTTTATTTTTAAACGCGATGTTAAACTAAACAAACTAGTGTTTAATAGTTGGTGATGTCTTAGCATGCTGCTATTTATATAATTACCCTAATCGCCCGCATCAATGCCGTATCCATGCCTGCCCTGTGAAGTGGTTGAAGTATTTTGTTATTATTGGTGCAGTTCTCTTGAGAACCATTCAATATGTAACATCATTAGTGATTTTGATTTAAAGTAAAATTTTTATAAGGGTTAGAAATGTGCACTGGTTGTTTTTGTAAATTAGTTGTAGAAATTTTCTTGGCAATTATACATAATTCTATCATCATTACAATTAATTAGCTTACAAGAAACTTTTTGGGAACTTACCATTTAGAATATACAGTGTAATAGATTGTTTATATGGCATAACAATCAATTTATGATTAAGCTAATTATAGCTTAATAATCTAGGTTGATATTTTACTAATACCTTCACTTCACACGTTAATGAATAAACTATTCCATTGTGAATGACATGTGGCGTGATTTGTACAGTAACTAAGGACCTTTATAAACGTTCAATTATCAATATTAATGCAATAACTGTGTATTTAACTGTGTAAAATATACAGGTGATATTTATGTAATTAATGTTTAAGTGGTTGTATTTGCACACATGCAAAAATAATTAAACAGTGTAATAATGTGCTACAAATTTATCTAGTTATTGTGCATTAATGCCGACACATGCATGCCTAAATAAATTATTAATAAACCAGGATCTATCAAATGCATTTTAATTAAATTTTTTTAGATTGGTGAAATATTAGTGCGTTCAGTACAGTGCAAGTGACCAGAAAGTAATTGACCATAATAAGAAAGTTTAGTGTAGTCTTGTTAAAATCATTTTATTCAGGTTGAACAAACATAGATGGCTGCTAATAATGTTTAGCAATTTAATTAACAAAATTATTTAAAAACAAATTATTTGTAAAAATTTAAGTTTACATGACTGATTAATAAAATTATTAAATTTCTAGAATTTATTATTTTAAATTCTAATGCAATTAGTAATAACTTTTAACAATAAAAGTTAAAACTACTAATAATACTAAAAATTAAAATATCTCGCAACTTTCGCAAGGGCATATTTGAAGTGTTTATTAAATGTACCAAATATCAATGAGATTAAATGACCTTAATTGTTTAGTTTGTCTGAACGCTCAGTTAAGTATTGGTAGAGAGAGAGAGAGAGAGAGAGAGAGAGAGAGCTAAAGAATTTTTCATTTTTAATGATAAAATTGATTATAACTCTACTAAGAGATTAGATATTTGTAGTATCAATATAATATTAAATAATAAGATATATAATTTTGTTAATTATTTAATATAATACCTTTATATAACAACCTTGGTATAATAGCTTTATCAACGCTTGTACAGAAATATTAGTTATAAATAATGAATGCTTGATATTTGTTATTGGGTAGTGTAATTTCCAGACAAATAATATTTGTATTTTTATACTTTAAATGTGTGATATAAAAATTATACATTTACTACAATAACTAATATTTTTAGTATTGAATTTAATTAAAAGTTTTAACCAATAATAGTGTAGACATTTTAGTTAAATAATCATCATGAATAAACCATACAGGCAACTTATCAAAATTTTAACATGTTGTTCTATTGTATATTAAGTTAATGTTCGAGAAATAAACCTTTAATTATTTGCTATAAATCTAACTGTTAGCTTGTGTCTGCTAGACATTTTTTAAAGTTTCATAATAAATATTATCAATATTTTTTCTATGGTAAATATGACATATTTTTCTAATAAATATGAATTATGTTTTATTAGAAGCTATTGTTTTAGCTAATTCCAAATAATTTCAAACTGTACATTTTAAATATTAATATTATTTTATTTAAATTTAATTATTAACTTTAATTTGGTCTGGTAACAAGAGACGGTTCATAAATTTTTTATAAAGAAATAACATCAAAGTTAGTAAAAATTAAGAATGTTCATTTTTAATTAAACATATAATAACAAACATACATTATAATTTATAAATCATTAAATGTCTTAATATTAAATAAATGTATCCCGAGTAATTATTTTATATAATCATAATATTGTTAGTTGTTTTAAATTGTTAGTTGTTTTAAATTGTTAGTTGTTTTAAATTGTGAAATTTTTAATTATATTAAATAAAATATAAACTGTAGTTTTTGTTTTATTTTACATTATTTATTTTAACTTTAATTAATATCATTATATATTTGGGCAATATGCCGTAAAGGCTCATAAATTTTTATAATTTTATAAATAACATCAAATTTAGAAGAAATGTTCATTTTTACTTGAGCATACAATAACAAACATACACTATAAATTATTAACTGTCTTAATAATAAATAACTCTTAAATAACATTAAATGTTTTGTAAATAATTATTTGATATAATCATAACATAATAATATTGTCGTTTAGTGTTTTAAATTGTTAAATTCTAATTGCATTAAATACAATAAAAACTGTAACTTTATTTTATTGTTTGACATAAATATTACGATGGTTACACAAACATTTTGTATTGGGCAATTTCAAAATTGTTAGTAAATTCTTTACACTTATAATTTCAAACTGTAAATTTTAAATATTAATAATTATTTATTTTAACATTAATTAATATCATAATATATTTGGGAGAATTGGCCTAAAGTCTAATAAATTTTTATAATTTTATAAATAACATAAATTTTTTAGAAATTAATAATATTTATTTAGATCAATACTTAAAAACATAAATATTATTTTGCATTTAAAATATTTTAACTTTCTATCAAAACATCATGATTCAATTAAACTAGCATTAATCAAATGAACCTTAAAGAACACTCACATAACCAATAAAATTAAT